GATGGTAAGGTCCACATTCAATGTTCGAAATAATAGTATCCCGTGTTTATAGCTGTCAGTCATAATGCCATGCCCACCAGACCGGTCCCGTGCGGTGACAGAATCTATCCCCATCTGCAACTTTCCCGAAAGGGAAAGCGGATGTGGATGTGGAAACGTCACTGGCTGCATGGTGCTGTACGTACCACGGCCTCACTTTTGCTGTCCATACGAAAGGATTGCCATACTGAAGGAAGGAWGGGTGTACSACGACGCTTCCGTAGTTGCTGCGTTATCTTTGTGCACGTACTTCTTCCTTAACGCCATTCTACGCACCTTTCCGAACGCTGAGGACGGTTTCCGTCTCYCTGTGTGGCTTCCAAGTATGACGGTTGAAGGTGATCACGAAGGTCTATCGTGCATCCAAGACTGGGGCTGCAGTGAATCCCAAGTGCCACCTGCGCAGGGCCATGGGACATTCACTGTCCAAGCAGTGGACCAGCAGGCGCAGTGGTCCCACGACGCCTACGGGACGAGGGCCCATTTCTCACAGAGTTCCGCATCACAAACATTTGCTGACCCAAATGGTGGGACAGGGCCACAGGTGGGACTGTCTCCAGTCCCGCATGAAGCAGTGGGCCACTGTCCCACCGTCGCTGGCACTTCTGCACACCATCGCTCATACGGACCATCTGGTGACCCCTTCTCCTCACCATTGCAGCCTGTTGGCGGTTTCAGGTTCGGTGTGGGTGGAGAAGACGAATACGCACTCCGAGAGCAGGTGAGAAGGCGTGCAATGGCCATGGCTGGAGCCTTTGAATTTGATCTCCAGCACAGCCCTGCATGTTTTTCACGTGAGCTGTTTAGCGGGCAGCACAGGAACAGTGACAGTCTCCCTCCCGATGGGCAGCCAGTGACACCCATCAGTCCACAAGCCCCAACACCACAAACCAGATGTCATAGCAGCAGTGGGGGCGATGGAGGACAGCGTCAGCAAGGTGGAGAAGATTACATAATCAATAGATTAATTCGCAATGTTGAAGCCGGTGATTTGTCCTCACAGGATTGCGGTGCGGGAGATGGTCAGAGGGTTGGGCAACCGTCACTCTCCCCATTTGTTGGTGCCTCTCCCAGTGAAGGTGACAATCTGGGGGCAAGTGGTGGCAGTCCCAACGTTCCTGCCGGTGTAAATGCCCCACAGCCCATACCCTCGCCCCCCGTAAGTTCCAGCGGGACGTCAATACCAGCTCGACATGAAACCTCCGCAGGACGGCCATCCCGAGCGGACAAGAACTCCGATCGTTGGGGGGAGGAGGAGACTGCATTGCTTTGCAGGATTCGAAATGAGGTGAAACAGCTGATGGGTGAGGAGACGGAGGCGTATGGCAGGGCTCGCATCAAGTCTGGTTTTTGGAAGATGGTCGCACAGCGCATGAAGGAGAATGGTGTGAATCGCTCACCTGACCAATGCAAAAACAAGTTCAATCAAGTTCACGACTTTTACAGGAGGCTCAAGGGTCATGAGAGGTGGTCCGGTCTGCCCAATTACTGGGACATGAATGCCAGTACGCGGAAGGTGTGCAATGTTGATTTCATCATCCGCCGCAGTTGGTATGACGCGATCAATTCTGCAGAGAAGGACACTGACTCCATTACTTTGTCTGAACTTAGGGATCCGGGCACTGAGCATGAGCGGAGGGAGGAGGAGGAAGGAGCACGAGAGCAAGACGGGCAAGCAGAACTTCCGACAGACGAAGACGGGTCGGGTGCTGCAGGTGGGCCGTCGGTGAACGAGGGAACACGATCGACTGCTTTTGATCCCACGCTCAGCAAGCGCAAACGGGCCGTGACGAACGCCCGCGAATCGAGTATGCGGGCTATCATTGGTGCCATGCGTGATCACACGGTCGCATTGACGCGTTCCGACCGTGACTGCGCGAGGATGCGCGGTGACGCCACCCGTGACGTTGCGCAGCAACAGGCAGAACTGCAGAGGGACCTAATGCAGCAGGATATAGCATCCCGTGAACGAACTGTGAAGGAGTACGGTGACAGGGTTGAGAACTCATATATGGCCATGGCTGATGCTATCCGCAGTCTACGTGCACCACACAACAACCGTCGTGCCCACCGTAGGAGCTCAGACGATTCCGAGTAGCGATGATTGAATTCGTACTGTCTTTATAGTGGAGTCAAGCACTGTTTCTGTATTGTTTAAACCTGCATATGGTTCGTAGTAGGCTTTTTGTCAATCGGAAGTGAAGTTCCATTTTGTCGTTCCCGGGGGTTATGCGAGGAGGTTGGAATCTCATGATGGGTGTTGTTTGCTAAGTACTCTCTGTTATGTACATGACGTGCCTTGGGTTGAGCACGTCATGTATTTGCCCACAGCTTGCTGTATTTATTAGCGTCTGAAACTTATTTAGCGACAACGTGTAGGCTTTTTGTTTAAACTTTTTGTTATTGTTCGAAGTTTATGCGAACTTTATGTGAATTTTATGTGAACTTTATGCCGACTTTATGTGAACTTTATGCGAACTTTATGTAAACTTTTCCCTGTTTTTACCGGTAAACATGTTTGTTTAGTGGCTACAGCGATAAAGGAGCCAGTATTTGCTCTCTCTCTCTCTCTCTCTCTCTCTCTCTCTCTCTCTCTCTCTCTCTCTCTCTCTCTCTCTCTCTCACGCGCGCGCCCGCTCGCCACACCTTTCCTCTCCGTCGAAATGGAATGATAAGGTAGATGGGAAAAAGCTCATAGCGGCCATACCGGCTTGGATTCTGAGGCATGAAAACGGAGAGAAACGCCGATACAGACCCGTCTTTCCACATGATCACCCTCTACCGATCAGAACGGCCATACCCGCTAGGATTCCACAGCCATACACTTCAACACCATTTTTATTTTTTTCTTCCCATAACATCCGTGAAAATTGGAACGACATAGAGAAAGAAAAGATTAGCCTGTATTTGCTCTCTCTCTCTCTGTGTGTGTGTGTGTATCGTTATTATGTGATGTGTCGAATACTGACTTCATTGTGAGTTTGGACATAGCTGCATTTCGACGTTATTGTTCGAACTTTATGTTATTGTTCGAAGTTTATGTGAACTTTATGTGAACTTTATGCGAACTTTATGTGAACTCTCGGAGGAACTTTAAGTGAACTTTTCCTTGTTTTTACCGGTGAACATGTTTGTTTAGTGGCTATAGTGATAAAGGAGCCTGTTTTCTCTCTCTCTCTCTCTCTCTCTCTCTCTCTCTCTCTCTCTCTCTCTCTCTCTCGCACGCGCGCGCCCGCTCGCCACACCTTTCCTCTCCGTCAAAATGGAATGATAAGGTAGATGGGAAAAAGCTCATAGCGGTCACGCCGGCTTGGATTTTGAGGCATGAAAACGGAGAGAAACGCCGATAACGACCCGTCTCCTCCACATGATCACCCTCTACTGATCAGAACGGCCATATCCACTGGGATTCCACAGCCATACAGTTCAACACCATGGTTTTTTTTTTTTTTTTTCCATAACATCCGTGAAAATTGGAACGACACAGAGAAAGAAAAGATTAGCCTGCATTTGCTCTCTCTCTCTCTCTCTCTCTCTCTCTCTCTCTCTCTCTCTCTCTCTCTCTCTCTCTCTCCACACCTTCCCTCTCCCTCGTAATGGAATGATAAGGAAGATGGGAAAAAGCTCATAGTAGGCATACCGGCCTGGATTCTGAGGCATTAAAACGGAGAGAAATGTGAATCTCAAGCAGTGGTTCGTCCACATTTTTTTAATATATCGATCAGAACGGTCAAATATTATTTTTCCACAGCCACACCCGCTTGGATCACAATTTTTAAGGTAGATAGAATGCTAAGGTCGATGGGAAAAAGCTCATAACGGCCATACCCGTTTGGATGACACAGGCATAAAAAAGGAGAGAAACGTGAATCGAGAGCTGTGGTTCCTCCACAATTTTTTACTCTGGCGATCACAAGATTAGCATGGCCCCACAAGCTTGAATAAGAAGATCAAATGGATAGAAACATGCATGGTAAGATTCGTCACACCCACATACCACCTTTTGCAATCTTCTTATAGAAATCAATGCAAAAAATACATTCACGCGTTACACATTTCAACAACAGACACACAAAATAAGCAAAAAAAAAAAAAAAAGAGTTGGGTTGTATGCATGCCCTAACTGCATTTCAGAACTGTGTCTTGGCCCATAGCCTGCCCAAACTCATTCTTCTGACTCCAGCGTACTTTCCTCCAAAAACAAATAGAAGAGAGAGAGAGAGAGAGAGAGAGAGAGAGAGAGAGAGAGAGAGAGAGAGAGAGAGAGAGAGAGAGAGAGAGCGAGAGAGAGATTATGTTCAAAGGTCCAATGGTACTAAACACAATTTCATACTTCCGATTAGTCTGGGAAACACATCAGTCGCCCAACATCAACCTGCGTAGGACACACTGAGGTGAAAGGTCCGATCATCGCCCATCGCCCTACATCTCTGAATTCTCAGGGAAACACAACAGTCATGCGCCTTTCGATTCAGTTTTCACAAAACCTACTATGTCTTACTCGCCCTGAAGGACGACGCATATATGGTCCTAAAACTGCATCTATCCAACTGCCTCCTTCGTCTATCTGCTAAAAACAAAAACTTGTCCTCACATGCTGACAAACATACAACGATACAGTGAAGAGGAGATATTAAACCACTACCGCCATGAAGCGGTAATTATCCACGGAAACTGATTTCGAATCGGTACCGTGCAGTACCATGCACGTACTGCTTCGCTCCGTTCAGTCCTTGCTGCTGTGTGTGATGTGAAGTCCGTGGAGAGAGCCGTGCTTGCTGCATGCAAAATGCACTCCACCATAATATGAGATAAGGGAGAGAGAGAGAGAGAGAGAGAGAGAGAGAGAGAGAGAGAGAGAGAGAGAGAGAGAGAGAGATTATTGGCAAAGAATGGGATAACCGACGGACCTCAGCTAATGATATAAGCGGCAGAGAAAGGGGAAAAGAAAGAAAAAAAGAGGAGTCTTATGAAGCGGTGATGCTAAACGGTAAACAACACTTGCGCTATCACAAGGGGCGACCCGGTGGTGGTGGGAACTTCGCCGGAGGCCTGAACTCTCGGAGTTCCTTTTCCATGTCTTCCCAGAATGAAGGAGGATAAGTAAGGAGCTCGTTAGTCATCTGAAGTTTCACAATCTCGCTCTCCATCTCCGACACACGCGCAGTCAAGTCCTCACACGAAACGCATTTCGACGCCTGCGCAGCAGAGGTGGAAGTGGATATGCCGGCAGCCTTTCCTTTATTATGGAGTGTCATGCATCCCATCCCATCACACAAATCTCTCGCCGGTGGTGGGAACTTCGGACGTGCAGTTTGACCACCATACACAACGTCGTTGTAGATTTGCCAAGCCGTTTGAGCCTGCTGACGTGTCACTCGCAGATCCCTTGATGCTGCATCCAACTGTCTTCGAACTTCATCCCGCTCCGCCATAGCTTCTCCCCGCTCCGCCGCAACCGCATCCCGCTCCACCAACGCTTCCTGCAAGGCTGTAGATGTCTGATCTGCTTGCATGTGCATGTCCTCCGACATTTGTCTGCATCTATCCAACTGCCGCCGTGTCTGCAGATGCTCTGTGACGATGTCGTCGCAGCACTGTTGCAGGTTCGCTCTCGACGAACGCAGTCTTTGAACAACGGACAAAGCCCATCTCCTCGCATGATCACTCTCCTGCGTTATCTCAGTTTCACAAACTGCACTGCCATGTCGCATATGGACGGTGATACTATCACCTCTCGCCACCAAGAACTTGTACAGACGTTCGACCTCCCTCTCTGTCCTCTCCAATTCCTGCACCAACGCATTCCACTCCCTCACATAATCCCTCCACGTGCCATTGCCTGCCATGGTGTGCGAGCGCGGAACAGCGCGGAACAACGATTAAACTTGGTTGTGGATGTGGAACTGTCGAATGACCTCTGCACACAGTGCATCCCTCATGGCCTGACGGTTCTCCCTCCCGAACATGAAGGGGAAGGGAGCAACGTCCGCTTCCGGGGGGGTGTTCCCGAACGGAACCTGAGGAGAGGCGGCGTCGGACGCGTCATCATTATCCACAGGGACGTCCCCCCATTCCTGTAATAGATTATGCAGGATACAACAGTATGAAATGCCAACCCCTCCCTTTTGATATCCGTTATGTGTGGCCGGTAGAGAAACTGGAACCTCATCTTGAACACACCGAAAAACCGCTCCACAGCAGATCTGACAATCTTGTGGAGGTTGTCGAACAACGTCATGTCCGCTGTCATGATGGGGTGCAGGGTTCCGTAGGGAATGACAAGCCATGGCAGACTCGGATAGCGTCCGTCACCCAACAAGTACCCACCTGGCACACCAACAATCTCAGGCCTCTCACCGCGGAAGGGGTCGTTCGGGACATCCAAGAACAACGACCCCTTCAGCGCCCTCCTATACATAGATGAGTTCTTGAGGGCGCGTGCATCGCCAACGGTCCCTGGGAAACCGTAACAGAAGTCAAGAATTTTGAGATCGGAGTCAACCACCAATTGTGCAACAATGAAGAAGCGATTGTTTCTTCCGGAACAATACTCGTCTCCGTCCCTGCGTCGAGGCTTGTCCATGTACACATGAGTGCAGTCAATGCACCCCCAACAATTGGGAAAACCCAAAGCGGCAAACTTCCGCATCCTCTCGTCACACTCAGCAAAACCACCAAACCCCACCACATTCGGGTACAAAGCAATAACGGCCTCGGCGACCTCTCGAATGGCTCGAGACCCACTGCTTTTTCCCATACCGTAACCTGAGCAACTATGCCAGTGGCAGTCCCCATGGGCCCACCTGTGGAGGGCATATGCCACCTTCTTCGCAGGTGGATGCGGCAGTCTAAATTTCGTAACCTGCTTCTCAAGCAGTGGTTCCAACTTTCAGACAAGACGGTCAAAAGTGGAATGCCGCATCCGCAGAAGACCAATGTAATGGTCGTTCACACGGAATGAGATCGTTCCACAAGCCCGCAGAGCGGCGCAACACCCACCACCTTGGGGGAGGCCTTGCAATGACATTCGTCAACTCCACAATGGTGGGCAACAGCCACAGGAGACTACGGCCGCCACGTCATCGACAGAGCCAAATTTATGTACTGCTGTGGGGACCCTAGAATGAAAGATGGTCTCCTTGTCCGGAATCTCATGATGAGATCCAGCATTTCAAAGGCATCATCTGCCATTTTCCCCGCGGTAGCCATCAAAGCCGCCACGACATCCTCACGCTCCTTCCTCCGTAAGAGAGGCATTGCCAGACGAGCAAAGCACTCGCTGCTATGTCGTGGCCGTGGCCGTCCACAAACACCCACCCCCCTCAAACCCCCCCGGATGGACTAAAACCCTCACCCCCTCAAAAGTTGGCTGTGGAAGCAGCAATGGGAAACTCGCCCAGCCTCAACGGAGGTGCTCCCCGTACGAATGGCCAAGGGGTACCGGAGGTTGGACATGAATGCTAGTAACGGGCGGAGAAGAGCACCGCCATTTTTCCAAATATGCGGCCCGCCCGCAGCTACTCTCCACGAATGGCCAAGGCCTCGGTAACGCAGCGCTGACAGCAAGCGTTTCCCAAAAGGGAAACCCCAACAAGTTTCCACTCGGAGCAATGTCAGTATTCTGACTCCCGAAAGCGGACCGTAAGTTGCGGAGCTACGCCGATACAGACCCGTCAGGACTACGATTTTGCATTCCTGAAAAAAACCCGAAAACTGTTTTTTCCTATTTTTTTTCCTATTTTTTTTCCTATTTTTTAAATGGCCACAAACGTGCCACACACGACGCGAATCTATGCTGGTCGGCCCGAGCCCCTGGGTGAAATGCTACAAAAAAGAAAACGTAAAAATAAGAGTTTCTCCTGTACCACGCGCGAGGAGCACGAACGGGAAGGACAGATGCATCGCCAGCAGGGTAAGTTAGGTCACTGGTACCCAATGATTTCCTTTTTTTTTTTTTTTTTTTTTTTTTTTTTTTTTTTTTCGGTGGCGGGTGTGGGGGGGGGGGAGTACCCAATAAAATTGCCATAACAGTGTGAGGGCATACTCACACACTAGGCGGCTCGCCGCACCCCTCGACAAACACCAATATTTTGAATGTATCTGGACTGCGGGCTGTCCATATACATTCAAAATGCTGGCTTTTGGCGAGTGGTTCTGCGAGCCCTACCGTCTTCCCCCAATATAACCCACCCTTATAATAATAAATGTATACAAACTATATTTCCCGTGATGTACAGCCAAAATGAGGGCGCAATATTATGTTCGGGGGAGATGGTAGTGGGACGTACCGGCGGTCAGGAGGTAGAAGCAACGAAGCATTGAGAGAGCCCTCGAGCAAGTGCCCGCCTGGTATGGGGCAGGCACTAATGGTGCTATGTTCATGCTAAGAAAGCGTGCACCTGGTCGTAATACCGCTCAGGATCGTGCTTTCATAAGGCTTGAACGGAGCACCAGGGGGGCTGGTCCTTCGTCCTTAGAGTTGATGGGTCGACCGTGAAGCTGCGTGCCAGCGGTGCTCAGTTGACCGTGAAGCGGTATACCAACCGTGCTCTGTCGACCGTGTAGAGATCTGAGCACTTGGCGAGGGGCTACACAGAACGTAGACGGATTGCGAACAGCACTGGCACTCTCTCAAACAGTTGGGCCGTACACACGACTTGCTTTCTCTTTCTTTTTCTTCAAACTTTTTTCACAGCAAAGCGAAGGAGAAGGACAAGCAGAAGGAGAAGGAAGGAGGAGGAGGAAGCAGAAGTCATGCTGCGGTAGAGATCTGAGCGCTTTGCGAGCAGCTACAAGAGAGGGGGTTGCGAAGGGCACTGCCGCACTCTGAACACAAGGTGGAAGGTGCGCCTTTGTTTTACTTTTTCACAGCAAGGAGACGGGGAAGCAAAAGGACGAAGAAGGTAGAAGAAGGAGAAGGGGAAGGAGAAGGAGAAAGGAGAAGGAAGAAGAAGGGGGAGAATCAGAAGGAAAGGGGAAAGGGGAAAGCGGAAGCAGAAGTTGCGCGGTGCAGAGATCTCGCGCGCGGCTTCGCGAGCCTCTGGAGAGATCGGAAATCACGCTCACGCTGTCTGAAGAAAGTTGGAAAGCGATTTCCTTTCGTGTCCGACTGTACACACAGCTTGCTTTCTAAGAGGAACGCTGTTTCTTCCAATTATTTCACAGCAGAGAGAAGGAGAAAAAAGAGGAGAAGGAGAAGGAGAAAGAGAAAGAAGAAGGATAAGGAGAGGGAAGAAGGAGAAGAAGAAGAAGGAAGAAGGAGAAGGACGAGGACAAGAAGAAGGGGAAATGAGAAGCCGCGCCGCCGTGGAGAGATCTCGCCGCATTGCGAGCAGCTGCGGGAGTACTTGGAGAGAGATTGCGAAGTCACAGACTCACAGTGACGTTGTGTGAAACGTGGTGGTCGAACCTATATTGGAAGGTGTAACAGTTCGACTACTTCGACACTACACACGCACAGCTTGGTTTCTCCAGGTAGGCTTTCGTTTTTTTTTTTTTTTATATCTTTTCTCCATCTACCTCTTCCTTCTTTTTATCCCCCCTTCGCTCTCTCCTTTTTTGTTACCCCTCTTCGTTGAGCAGGGGGAAACCTTCGAATTTCAACGCATGACCCCTTTTTTCCTTTTTCCCATTTTAGTCGCGGTTTCAATTCGTCCCTTTTCTCAAGCAAGGAGTGAGAACACGTCTGTCAGGTATTCACGCAAGCCGTGACGTTGAAGAGGATAGAAGTCGATTCCCCAGAGGCGCAGTCCTTCTATGTAGCCAATAGGAATTATGGTTCAAGCGCCTGAATCTAGGGATACCGAAATCCATTGCGATTAGCTGCACCTCTCCAATAACAAGTCCAGATTCGGGATTTTGAATGCAAACCCGTTAACTATTTATTGCCAATTTGACACTGCGCGCGTAAAATGGGGGACGAGATGCGGGGGCTGTGAATCGACGGCAGGGCAGTTCGTGATGAACACACGCCGAACGCCGAGGACGACCAAACGTGGCCCCGCTCTCGCCTTCGAACGCGAGAGCAAAAAAAAGGAAAAGAAGAGAGAGAGAGAGAGAGAGAGAGAGAGAGAGAGAGAGAGAGAGAGAGAGAGAGAGAGAGAGAGAGAGAGAGAGAGAGAGAGAGA